AGGTAGATTTAGATAAGTTGTAAGGAAGAAATTTTTCATTGTGGAAGTGATGAGATGCACTGAAACAGGTTGCCCAAAGAAGTTGTTGATGCCTTCAGTGGAAGATTTCAAAGCCAGGTTGGATGGGTCTTTGAGCAATCTGGTCTAGTGAAAGATGCCCCAACCCATGACAACAAAGTTGGTCTAGATAATCTTTGAAGGATTCTTCCAACACAAATCATTCTATGATTCCATAGGGCATAGAATGGGCCATAAGTCACATGGGCTCATAAAGAGGACCTTGTTATAAGCATTTATCCGTACCAGAATTGGAGAAAAAATGTATCCCTGAATTCCTGACTGAACTTTGGGAAAGTTCCATAGAATCATACAACCAGAGAATACGCTGAGTTGGAAGGAACTCATCAAGATCATCAAATCCAACTCCTGGCCCTGTGCAGGAAACCCCAAGAAATATGCCTCACAGCACTGTTCAAGCACTTTATGAACTCTGTCAGATTTGGTGATGTGACCATTTCCCTGAGGAGCCTGTTCCAGTGTTCAAGCATCCTCTGGGGGGGAAAAGATTTCCCAACATCTAACCCTCCCCTGACTCAGCTTCATGCCATTTCCTTGAGTCCTATCACTGGTCCTGAGAGTGAAGAGATCAGTACTTGCCCCTCTGCTTCCCCTTATAAGGATGTTGAAGACCACAATGAGGTCTTCCCTCAGCCTCCTCCAGATTGAACAGACCAAGTGACCTCAGCCTCTACTCATAAGTCTTTCCCTCCAGACCCTTCACCATCCTCATGGCCCACCTTAGGATGCTCTTTAATAACTAAAAGTCTTTCTTATATTGTGGTGCCCAAAACTGCACACAATACTCAAGGTGAGGCCACATCAGTGCAGGGCAGAGCGGGACAATCCCCTCCCTTGACCGGCTGGCGATGTTTTGCTGATGTCCCCCAGGACATGGCTGGCTCTCCTGACTGACAGGGCACTCACTGGTGACTCAGATCCAACTTGCCATCGACCAGTACCCCTAGGTCTTTTTCTGCAGCGCTGCTCTCCAGTCTCTTGTTCCTTAGTCTATACACACAGCAAGGGTTGCTCCATCCCAGGGGTAGAATCCAGCACTTGCCCTTGTTAAACTTCATATGGCAGGGGATTGCTCATCTCATTTTTTGAGGTCTCTCTTCAGGGCCTCTCTGCCCTTGAGGGAGTCAGCAGTTCCTCCCAATTTAGTGTTGTTGGCAAACTTAGTATTCCTTGGAGTCCTGTGTCCAAACCATTAATGAAGATGTTGAAGAGAACTGGGCCGAGGATGGAGCTCTGCAGAACCCCACCAGTGACGTGTCACCAGCCTGATGATATCCCCTTCAATATAATCCTTTGTGCCCAACCTGTGATCCAGTTGCTCACCCATTACATAGCACGGTTACCCAGCTGTGCGCTGTGTGTTTTGTCCAGAAGGATACTGTGTGAAACAGTACCAAAAGCTTTGCTAAAGTCCAAAAGGATTGTATCTGCTGGCTTTCCTTGATCAGCCAGGTGGGTTACCCTGTTGTAGAAGGAAATCAGGTTTGACAAGACTTTCTCCTCATGAAGCTGTGCTGGCTTTGACCAGTGACTGCATTGTCCTCCAGGTGATTTTTAAGACTTTCCAGAATAATCTTTTTCATGATTGTACCAAGCACTTACATGAGACTGACAGCCTGTAGTTTCTGGGGTCCTCCTTCCTACCCTTTTTGAAAATTGGGACAACATTCACCAGCTTCCCAGGTCCCAGCTGGGACCTCTCCAGATTCCCAAGAGTGCTAAAAAATCATCGAGAGAGGTTTTGCGAAGGCATCAGCTGGCTCTTTGAGGATTCTGGGATGAACCACATCAGATCCCATAGATTTGTAGGGATCCAGCTGGATCAGCAGATCCTGCACAGTTTCAGGGTCAACTGGGAGTTTATCATTCTCACAGTCATAGTTCTCCAGCTCAGGGCACTGAGATCCTCCTGGTTCATCATCTATGTTGAAGACAGAGGCAAAGAAAGCATAAAACAACTCTGCCTTGTCCCTGTTTGTGAGGTGACAATTCTCATCCTCTAATGGGCCAATGATATTTCTATACTGCCTATTGCCATTAATGTATTTGAAAAAACTCCTTATTGTCCCCCACATTTCTGGCCAGCTTCAACTCCAGTTGAACTTTGGTCGCATGAATTTTCCCCCTACAACAGCAAGCAGCATCTCTATTCTTCCCATGTCAGATGACCTTGCTTCCACTGGGCATATACCTTCCTTTTTCACCTTATTTCCCTGTTCAGACAAGCCAGTCTTCTACCTTGTCTGCTTGACTTCTGTTTATGGATTACCTGCTCCTGTGCCCTTAGGAGACAGTGTTTAGAGAGTGACCAGCACTGATGGGCTCCAGCATCTGCAAGAACATTTTCCATGAGGATTTTACTTACTAATTCCCTGAGCAGCCTGAAGTCTGCTCTCCTCATGACCTGAGTTCAGGTTTTGCTGGCTCTCTTCCTCCTGTCAACAGAGCTCCTGGGAGACAAGAGACTTCCCTGTGAGTTGGGTCCACTCTGCACATCAGGCCCTCTGTTACCCTTAGAAGGGAATCTCCCATTACAACTACCCTTCCTTTCCTCTCAGGGGATGTGGTTGTGATGCAGGGTACAGATGGCGTTGCTTTAGGAGGCCCCTCTGCCCCAGAAGAACCTTTGCCTGCCTCATCAGTTGTCTGGCCCTCTAGTTCCAGGGACTCATACCTGCTGTATAAGGTACCAGTCCTACTTGTTAGGTTTTTAGGAGGAGGAGGAAGAATCTTCCTCTTGGTACATCACTTCTAAATATCCCAGTTCACTGTATTAAATAAATATTCTGTTACTGGAAGGATCAAGGAAATCATTGCCTGTGCTCCTGATTCTTCAACCAATTGTCCCAAGGCAAATTGGTATTTAATAAAAGTTCTGTTTGCCTATTTTTTTTTTTTAATTAAAATAGGAGACAGAAGCCATTCTGGTTTTACTGAGTACATCATTGTACAAAACTTCATATAAGAAAAAAAAAAAGGTTAGGATCTTTTTTCTTGACAATAATATTTGAAGTAATTAATTTTTTTTTTTTAATTCTCCATTACATGTAAAGAATTAAACTTATTTCTCCTTCCCCTTCTCCACCCAGAAACATTTGCAAGATCTCTTTGCATTTCCTTCTTTGCTGAGCCTAAAACTAACTGTCTATGGTTGTAAAAGTTCGTGTAGTGGTCAAAATTTGGGAGGACCAGGAAAAGGAACTTCTAGGCAAGCATATAGACTGCTCCAGGACTGTGCTACTACATCAGTGTTTAGAAGAAGGGAAAAGGCTAGGCTAAACCCAGGAAAATGTACTTGCAAAAGATCAAAAGAATTTAAAGGTAAAGCTACTTGTGGAGTGACTCTGTCAATAGAATTAAGTAAGATACAGAATTTGAAGGAAATATGTATGCTAGAGAATTATCACCCAGAAATTTCTCCCTGGTGGTGTGTGTTCTTCCCAATAGATCCAGTTCTGTGACAAGGTACTTCGCAGCCCAAAATTCACAGTGGGTTTAGCAGGTGAAACTACTGTGAAATACAGAATCAGAACAAATAAAAATCCACATGATCATCTGTTTTTATACTCTCTCATATGATGTTATTCTGCTGTTTGCCTTCTCCAGAAAAAAGGCCTCTGAAATGCCACCACATCTCTTGGAAGTCTCTCACATTTTAAGTGCATCCCAGTCGTGATAATCCAGTACCACTGACACGTTTTGAAGCTGAACCCCAAATCATCAAAACTTCACAAGACAGCATGTGATATTACATTATCAAAAGATAAAGTTAAAGAAGCCAAATTACTGTATTAATAATCATGAGACAAGAACAAGGGTCTCCTATTCTTTCCCACAGTATACTACAGATGTTCAAACATGACACTTCTCTATCCAAGTCATCCCAAGACAAAAATCATCTTAATATGTATTCAATTTGTCCCACATCATAAAACTCATGCATTGGAAAAAGTCATGCCCTTGTTTCTCTCAGCAGTTTTGAGGATAAAATTGTTTGATTAAGCCTCTTGATTTATATTATTTTACTAAAGGAAACCCTGCAGTTTTACCTCTGTTTTTCATTATTTTGGTTTTCTTTTTGTGAAATTACTTTTTCTGAATGACAAAATTCCTGAACTATAGTGTAAAGGTAGGCACACAAATAAATCATCTTAAAATAAGAGCATAGAAATGAATATGTTTGTCTACCGTTCTTCACCAAAAGAAGCATTTTGTAGGGAAAAAAATGAGGGTATAGTTAATTAAAATATTAGTACAAGGATTCCAAAAACGAGGGAAACAGAGAGAGAACTTCTATATGTCATGGGATTTTGAATGCACCTGATGATTGATGAACCAGAGAACTGTTTTTCACATCACCATTTCTCATGAAAAACATCTTTCCTTTAGTTTTGCTCAGCTCCTACTAGAGCTAAGTAGGGAATTATGACCAAAGGTTTCATTATTTTTAAGAGATGAAGCTGTGTTATGGAAAACAACTCATAACCCAGATACAGAGCCGAGTGACTACCCTGTGTTACTTGCTTCTTTTTAAAGCTCATTTACGCTAAGACGAGATCTCGAGATTACCCCCATTTTGAGCCACTTTGATGAAAAACCGTCTCAGGAACACGTATCCGCTGTCACTGTGACAGTGCTGTCAGAAGCAAAGTTTTAATTCAAAAGGAGAAATAAAAATCTCATCGTCCAGCTCTGCGTGCAATCCTGAAACTCGCGGATTATTGCCTTGCCTGACACTCATTTCAACTCTCGGCTGAAAGAAACATCGCAAGACAAAACTATTTTCTCTCCTCAGGAAGAACGATAACAAACGGGGTGCCGCACTCGGGGTTTTTTAACGAAAAATACACTTTTTTTGGAAGGAAGAAACACAAGCCGAGCGGCAGGAGCGGGCGGGGGGCGGGGCGGGCTCGCGAGTGCACCAATCAGCGCCCGCCGCGCTGCTATAAAAGGGGGCACAGCCGGAGCTGGGGCAGCCGCGTTCGCGCAGCATCGCCATGTCGGAGACCGCGCCCGCCCCGGCCGCTGAAGCGGCGCCCGCCGCCCCGGCCCCCGCCGCCAAGGCAGCTGCCAAGAAGCCGAAAAAGGCGGCGGGCGCTTCCAAAGCCCGCAAGCCCGCGGGGCCCAGCGTCACCGAGCTCATCACTAAGGCCGTGTCCGCCTCCAAGGAGCGCAAGGGGCTCTCCCTCGCCGCGCTCAAGAAGGCGCTGGCCGCCGGCGGCTACGATGTGGAGAAGAACAACAGCCGCATCAAGCTGGGGCTCAAGAGCCTCGTC